GTGTGTGTGTGTGTCACTGGCTCTAGCTGGCTGGCCGTGGGCCTCTTCGGGGTGTGTGTGTGTGTGTGTCACTGGCTGTAGCTGGCTGGCCATGGGCCTCTTCGGGGTGTGTGTGTGTGTATGTGTGTGTGTGTGTTTGTCACTGGCTCTAGCTGGCTGGCCGTGGGCCTCTTCGGGGTGTGTGTGTGTGTGTGTGTGTGTGTGTCACTGGCTCTAGCTGGCTGGCCGTGGGCCTCTTCGGGTGTGTGTGTGTGTGTCACTGGCTCTAGCTGGCTGGCCGTGGGCCTCTTTGGGGGTGTGTGTGTGTGTGTGTGTCACTGGCTCTAGCTGGCTGGCTGTGGGCCTCTTCGGGGTGTGTGTGTGTGTGTGTGTGTGTGTGTGTGTGTGTGTGTGTCACTGGCTCTAGCTGGCTGGCCGTGGGCCTCTTCGGGGTGTGTGTGTGTGTATGTGTGTGCACATGCCAGTATTGGGCCTAAGCGCTGTCCAGCTTTTTCACTCAGGCTGGCACCCTATTGACTACTTCTCCACTTTTGGCTTTTTGTTCTTTGGAGCTAAAAGTCTCACCCATTTGTCTGCCTGGATGAGCTCCAACAAGAATCCTCAATTAGGAGTGGCATGAGCCACAAACACCTAGAAACCTCTTCAGTCTCGTAGAGGTTTCCTGCATGGATGGGTAGGAGGAGATGCACAGCTGTCTGATTAAGTGGGGCGTGGGCTGTGATTGCTAAGGATCAGCATGCGAATTGGGTGGTGCAGGCACTTGTGAAAACTGGGCAGGAAATGGAAGCCATGGTGGTGTCTGGAAAGAATGGGTAAAATGAGGTGTGGGGGTGAAAAAAAGAAGCCAAAAGTACTTATGTCCTCAGGAGATGAAGCCTGAAGACAGGGAAGTGAGGTCGGTCCTCTTAGGACAAGTTTCAACTGCCCTGTGCTGTGCTCCACTGCTTCATGCATCACATGTGTGGGAGCTACTCTGTTAGTTCAGGGTTTCTGTACTGATGAATTTGGTGAATGTTCATGAAGATAAGCGTTATGGTAAAGGCAATGGAACTGCAGATTAGGGCCTTGGAAACAAATAGAAATGGCATGGAGAAATGAGAAAGATGCATTTTGGGTGGTCTCAAAACTACGCTCTGGTTGTGTGAACCTACATAGAATAGTTTGTTAGGAACCAAATGCTTCCCGTTGGTTTGATGTACTGGGAAGAAAGATCCTTTAAACCTGGAAACCACTCTTCCCAAACTGCAGTAGAGCCAGAGAATTTGGATGTGGCACCCCCAGCCCGATGTGGCCTGAACCCTGCCCTTGGTTTCCTTTTCACAGTCATTGACAGATACCAAAAGCTTCCTATAAGCCAAGGGAAGTCACCATGGACAGTCCAGCTTCCCCTGGTGCACTTGACCTGGCCATTCTGGAGCCAGCTCTGGGTTGGGCCAGGGCGCTGGGGGGAATGGGCCACAGGCTCAAACCTGACTCCAAGGTGAACTGCCTGGCTTGTCTTAAGATGGCAATACCCAGATAATTGCCAGCAAAATTGACCTGTCCTAGTCAACAATTCTCAACTGTCAGCTTGCTGAACACCACGACCAGCACTAACAGTGAGCAGGTGAACTGCAGTCTTCATTCCGGACCCACTGCCTCCGTGTCCAGAAAAACTTTGTGTGAGCAAAGCATTCCCTGGTCAAACACAGTTGCAGGATGCTATTTAAGGTAAGACTGCCCCTCTTTCTGGATGTCAGGGTAATGTGCATTTCTCTAAACCCATCTGATCCCTGTCTTCTCCAGGACACCCTCTCCTCTTGCGGACTTTCCTTGCTAGGTAGGGTCCATCTTCCTTCTCAGGCTGAACCTTCTAAGCCATGTCAGCAGCTCCCCTTGCTGCTTCCATGCTCCCTGCGTCTGCCCATTCCCATGAGAACTCCACGTCTCCACATGTGTTCGTCTCTCACCCTGCCTTCCATCCATCCTCTGCAGTCTCTGGGTTCCCTCTTGGCCTGACCAAGTACCCACTTCCGGATGATTGCCCATGCCTCTGTGTTCTCTCCACCCAGCAGCCAAAAGAACCTTGTTAAAACATTGATTGGAAGCTCTTGAATGCTTCCTTACTTCTCCAAGAAAAAAAAAATGTATCTCTTACCATGGGCTCTGGGTTGTGGTCCTCTGGCCAGCACTACCTATGACTGACTGTATTCTGCCTCTTTCTGACTGTACTGGTCAGTTTTGCATCACTTCTATGTTGGACTCAACAGTTTTGGGATTTTCTATTGCTACCTTGACCAGGTAGCAAAAGACAGGAAGAGAAAGGAACTAGGTCTCATAAATAGTCAATCAGTAACCTAAAGACCAAAGCCCCTCCTTAAAGGATCAATCTTGGGCTGGGAAGGTGGCTCAGTGGTAGAGTGCTTGCTTTGTATGCATGAGGCCCTGGGTTCAATTCCTCAGCACCACATAAGCATAAAAAGCTGGGAGTAACACTGTGGTTCAAGTGGTAGAGCACTAGCCTTGAGCTGAGGAGCTGAGGGACAGTTCAGGCCCACGACTGACCAAAAAAAAAAAAAAGGATCAACCTTCCCTCTGTACAGTTCCTCTTCCTCCTGGGCCCGTACCTCAGCTCTCCGCTCACATGGCTTCTTGGAGAAGGCTTTTTGCCTATCCCCTACTGGGATCTTGACTATACTATGAATGTATCTTGTCTCTTATTTCCTTACGCTGTTACTCCACTAGAAGGTAAGTTCTATCAGAAGCCATGACTTTATGGTCCTGTTGCCTCTAGCCCACATGGATGGAGAGCCTTGTGAATCTCTAGTAGACATATGCAGGAAGGAAATCCTGACCTGAAACAAATGTCAACTTGTTTCCATTCTTTCTTCTTTGCCTCAGTGATCCCCATTTTTCCATCAGCACATCTTCCTTTCCCCCACCCCTATCTGTTGTGGTTTCTGTTGCAGCAGTCCTCTGGCTTCCTGTCCATGGCTCCATCTGCACCATGACTACGCTGTCAAGCCAGCATCTTCAATGTGGACAGTGAAGGAATGGAGCCTCAGGTAGGCTGCCTGGTTGGAACTAGTCTCTCTGGGGGCTGGGTCCCTAAGTTCCCAATATTTCCATCATCAGAATGTTACCTACACCCTAAGGAGCAAATGTGTGTGTGTGTGTGTGTGTGTGTGTGTGTGTGTAAAATGGCTCCTTTTAGACAAAGGCCTCAAGAGCTCAGAATCCCCATCTCATGGCTGTGCAAGGACAAGCCAGGCCCTGTGCACTCTGACCAAAGCTTCACTCTGTTTTCTCCCAAGTTTATCAGCCCACAACACATCTGGAGGCTGCATGGGCTCAACGGTGGGCTTGGTGGGCAATAACAGAGTAGCAATGTGCTTGGTGGAAAGCTATGATTCCTGACCCAGGTGGTGGGTTAACCCAAGAGGTGGCGATGGTGGCAGGGGCAATGGCATGGCTTCCATAGAAGTCTCTCCATTGGGAGGGTCCACCAGGGCTGAGGTGCCAATGTCCAAGCAGGGCAGGGTCTGTAGACAATGCCAGAACTGTTAGCAACCCCACATGATCCTATGTGGCATCCGTTCCACTGTTCAGAATTTAGTTCATGGTTCATCATTCAAAAGACAAGATGCCTGGCTGGGAAGGTGGCTTAGTGGTAGAGTGCTTGCCAAGCATGCATGAAGCCCTGGGTTCAATTTCTCGGTACCACATAAACAGAAAAAGCCAAAGTGGTGCTGTGGCTCAAGTGGTAGAGTGCTAGCCTTGAGCAAAAAAAGATCAGGAACAGTACCAGGCCCCAATTTCAAGCCCCAGGACTGGCTATATATATATATATATATATATATATATATATATATACACACACATATACATATATGCAAGATGCCATCACCTCCATGCCTCAGAATTGTACCCCCCCTTTTTTTTAAGTGTATACATAAGTCAGAGATGGTGGTGCAGGCTTGTAATCCCAGCTATCTCCCAGCCCTTTTCAGGGCTAGTTGTCTCTCTCTAAAGCCGAATGCTAAAATTAAATCACTTCCTAAGAATCTAGGGTTTTTTTCCTTTTCTTCTTTTTTTTTTTTTTTGCCAGTCCTGGGGCTTGAACTCAGGGCCTGGGCACTGTCCCTAATCTTTTGTTCAAGTCTAGCACTCTAGCCACAGCACCACTTTTGGCCTTTTCTGTTTATGTAGTACTGAGGAATCGAACCCAGGGCTTTGTGAATGCTAGACAAGCACTCTACTATTAAGTCATATTCCCAGCTGGTTTTCTTTTTCTTTAGTACTTCAGTGACTTTCTTCTGCTGCCTTTCTAAAATACCCTATTCAGTCCTGGGGCTTGAACTCAGGCTTGGGCACTGTCCCTAAGCTCTTTTGCTTAAGGCTAGCACTCTACCACTTGGAGCCACAGCACCACTTCTGTTGTTTGTGTTGAGTGGTTAATTGGAGATAAGAGTTAACCAGGGACTTTTCTGCTCAGCTGGTTTTGAACCATGATCCTCAGATCTCAGCCTCCTGAGTAGCTAGGATTACAGGTGTGAGCCACCAGTGCCTGGCTCTTTTTGTTGTTGTTTTTGTCAGTTGTTGGGACTTGAACTCAAGTCCTAGGCTCTGTCCCTGAGCTTTTGTGCTCAAGGCTAATAATGCTCTATCACTTTGACCCACAGCTCTATTTCTGGCGGATGGTCTCACTGCTTTTCTTGCCTGGGCTGGCTTCAAAGCTTGATCTTCAGCCGGGTGCTGGTGGCTCACGCCTGTAATCCTAGCTATTCAGGAGGCTGAGATCTGAGGATTGTGGTTCAAAGCCAGCCCGGGCAGGAAAGATCGTGAGACTCCTATCTCCAATAAACCACCAGAAAACCAGAAGTGGCGCTGTAGCTCAAGTTGCAGAGCGCTCGCCTTGAGCTGGAGAGCTGAGGGACAGCGCCCAGGCCCAGAGTTCAAGCCCCACGACCGACAAAAAAAAAAAAAAAGCTTGATCTTCAGCTCTCAGACTCTTGGGTAGCTAGGGTTACAGGAGTGAACCACCAGCACCCAGCCGTAAGTTTGTAAGAAATTATTTTCCTTTCCATGTTTGTAACTCATAAGTTCATATCAAATGATGTCTTAATGGTAACAGGCCCAACGATTTGGCAACAGTTTTGGTAGAAGAAAATGAAAAAAGAGTCAATGCCAGAACCCCTGCCACTGTGAGTTATGGACACTCAAGTCAGATGTCTTTTTTAGAAAAGAGTCTAGAGTGCTGGATTAGCCAAGATTGGAGAACAGAACTGATTAGTGCTTGCAGATCCTAATTTGACCAGCAGGTGGCAGAGGTGGCTCACAAATCCAGGGACTTGGCAGGCAGCTGGGTTTGTGCCAGGATTAGTGGCTATGGACAGCTATCCTTTTCTCCTGTGGTCCTCTGTATGAGACTTTGACCTGATCCTTTAACTGTCTGATGGCATTATGTCCAAATTAAGGTGAAAAAAATCCCTCCTCCCTTCTCGATGAAGAAATGGGCAGATGCCCATCTTAGAGGGAGGGCTGTTATGAGGAATAAGATGCCCCTCTTCTCTCTCCTTGAAGGGGAGGGAGGGAGGTGGGTATTTTACACTCGGAAGATGGCCATCCCTCCACTGACCCCTGGGAGCTTCAACAACACCTTCATCTTGTCCACTGGGGCTGTGGTGGCGATTTAGTGCACTTCCTGGGAGCACTACAACCTGTTTCCAAAATGGCCCACCCACCAGGCCACGTATTGCCAGAAGTGATATGGAAAGCTTGGGGCTGAACTCCCCAGAGATACCAGTCAGAAACTGGGTGCTTTGGTGACCATCACTTCCCCCAAACACTGCCTGGGGGGAGCGAGAGGCCATGTGTAAGTCAGAGCAGGGGAATGGCGGTTGCGTGGCAGGGGGCGGGTAGAAGGGCGGGTAGAAGGGGGGTGCCTCGAGGGATGAGGACTGGGGGTGAGGACAGGTTGGAGAGGGTGAGTGGGCATGGAAGGCATGCCCCCCCAGAGACCCCACTTGCTTAGCTCTCCTGCAGACCTCACCTGCTTGCCTGGGTGCACCAGTGCCCATGTGGCCTGTACCTTGCAGGCTCTGACCCGCCCAGAGGAAAGTAGGTGATGGGGTGACCAGAGGACCTCAAAAGGCAGGAACCACCTGCAGAGGCCCCAAGAAGGAGAGATGGGGAAAAAGCAGTGGGCTTTGAGCCTCAGATGATGGAGCCACAGGCAGAGCCAAAACACAAGAGTTGGCCGGGTGCCAGTGGCTCTGGCCTGTAATCCTAGCTACTGAAGAGGCTGAGATCTGAGCATCATGGTTCAGAGCCAACCTTTGGGCAGGAAAGTAAGACTTTTATGTCCAACTAATGATCAAAAAAAGGCAGAAGTAGAGCTTCAGCTCAAGTGGTAGAACACTAGCCTTGAGCAAAAAAATCACAGGGACAATGCCTAGGCCCTGAGTTCACATCCTAGGATCAGCACACACAAAACCCCACAGACTTTCATAAATCTGTGTTTATACACATACTAGGTACCCCTCAGGGAGCCTGCCACCCCTCCCCAGGGGGCTTCTGGGCCCTGTAAGAAACCGAACACAAGCCCCACTTGGAACAGCCATAAAGAACGAGGCCTGTGAGGCACCCTGCTTCCATAGCACATTTAATCATGAATGCAAAGTTCTGGTTGGCTGCCTGGCTCTTGAAAGCCACCTCTGTGGGTGGGCGTGGGGACTTTTCCTAGGCAAGGGGTGAAATGCTGTTCTTAGCACTGGCACCGGCACCCACTAGGCCCTGAGAGCAGCACCCAGATCACACCTGGGCAAGTGGCCTCTGACAGTCCCCACGGGGGTTTCAGGAGCTCTTTCCTCCCCCGCGGCGATGTCAGCTCCTTTCACTTTGGGGTCCCGGCGCTTTTGGCCCCCATGGTCAAGCTTCCCAGGGTGGAGAAAAACTCCTCCATCTCCTTCTGCAGCAGCTGATTCCTCCTCTCAGCATCCTCCCGGGCCCGCTCTGAGTTCCGCAGCTTGATTTCTAACATGGCACATTTCTTCTTCTCCTGGTCCAGCTCCTCCTCTAACTGTGACGTCTGTTTCCTCAGGTCTGCACTGCTTTCTTCAATGCTTTAAAAAAAGAATCGAGAGACTGTCAGATGCCACTTTGCTGGGTTGCTTCCGTGCCATCTCCAGCAGGTACAGGCCTGGCAGTTTCCCCAGGGCTAGTCAGACCTGTCCCACAGATAGAAGGGACCTCACGGGCCTTGGCTGCTCCTGGTACACGCCAGGGAGCCAATGAAGACATCCCACCAAAAGGTAAAGATGTGTGGGGCACCAGTGGCCCACGCCTGCAGTTCAAAGGACTGCAGTTCAAAGCCATCCCTGGAAAGAAAATCTGCGAGTCTTAGCTCCAATTAGACACCAAAAATCCAGAAACGGATCAATCTCTCCAAGTGGTAGAATGTTAGCCTTGAACACAAAAGCTCAGGGTCAGAGCCAGGCCCTCAGTTCAAGGGATGGCACCTGGTCTCCCCACTCACACCTGCGTGTGCTCTGTCAGCCTTGGGGTTCCAGACCTGTTCCCTGCTCTGAGGGGTCATCTGCCCTGCTCAAAAGAAGTTCCAAACAGACAGTCTTTCAGGCTTGCTTTCCACCTCCCACCTTACACGTCTCCCTTGGTCTAGCTTTCCGTCACCCTCCGTGAGGCCGCACCAGAGCCCACACCACACTGTGCCGAGGTTGGCATACACATCTTTTCCACCAGGTGGCTAGCTCCTGCCTGGGCCCCCTGGAGCCTGGCCAGGGTAGGAGGGAAGCATGACAACAGCCGAGTCTCTGAAATGTAGAGCGCTCCAAAGGGAATCGGCTCCAACAGCTCTGCAGTCCCCATGGACAGGGACACGGTGTAGCCACGGCTATCCGTCCCCACCTGCCAGCCCAGCCAGGCCTCTTCTGAGTCAGTGAGCACAAAGGTGACACCCCTTCACCACAGCATGGACAGTCTCACCTTCAGACCCCATGGAGGGTGAGTGACACTAAGGTTCCACCCACTTCTCTCTGATCCCCAGCCCTTCTGCTGCTCCTGTCCCCAGGCCTCCTTCCTTCCTTGGCCTAAGCTGCCCTGGCTGGAGCCACCTTGGTGTCCAGTCTCTTGACCCTACACCCCTCCATGACTCTTGGCCTGTCTCAAGAGCATCTTTGACTTGACCTTCTAGCCAGGTGTCCCTGCAGCTGGCCAGCCACAACCCTAACGCCCTCTGGCAAGTCCCACAGCCCATCAGTGAGCAAGCACAGCATCTGGCTGTCTTCCATCTCTACTGCTGCCCCAGGGCCCGTGCCATTCTTGGCGTCTGGGCAGCCAGGTGTACTTCCCCAGGGGACCAAAGTGCCCGAGAACCTCCACCAGCTTCTCTGTTTTCATGTCCCTACCACTAAGACCAGAGCACCACTGAGGCTAAAATGGCATATACTGCCTTACCCGCCTGCCCAGGGCTGGTGTGGCTCCAAGTCCTTCCACTCCTCACGCGCCCCTCCAGCCCCCGCCCCCCGCTCTGCCCCGTGCTTGAGGGTTCTCTGACATGCTTTGTTTACAAGCTCTGCCCCAACCCCTCAAATGAGGAGGAGGGCAAGGAACTGGTGACTCAAACCTGTAACCCCAGCGAATCAGGAGAGGTAATACCCCTTCCCGTGCTCAGACCCTACCGGGGCCAGCACAACAGCCTAGCCACTCAGCTAGCGAGAGACAGGACCTCCTTGTTCTCTGGAAATTTGCTTCTGTGGATCCATGGAGCCACGGTCAACACCCAGTAGCAGAGGCTGGTAAGCCCACCCAGGACACACGTCATCAACACTAGTGGAGCTGTGACTTGAACCAGGAGAGTCTGAGACCCAGCCTACCATCAACCATCACCCATCCTGAGGATGCAGGTGAGAGGTGCCACAAGGGAGGGGGGTGCTCACTCCAGGCCTCTGAAGACAGCTTAGTTGTCCATCCTCCCACGCTCAGCGGCTACCAGCTCAGGTCAGAAGTTCCCACCCACTGCCTGGCTGAGGTGTTCCCCATGCCTCCTTTCTCCTCTCTGCAGCAGCCGTATCCTATTGGCGCTTCGTGCTTCGTGACCTGGTCAGGCACTGCCCACCATGACCCACCCTGGCAACTGCAGATGTGGTCCAGAGCAGCGAGGACACTCACTGCCCTTCCGGCTTCCTGTGGAAAGCCTCAGCAGGAAGCAAGAACGTTCCATGAGCACCACCAACGGAGGCACTGGAGAAAGCCAGCCTCAGATCCACACGCAGGTCTGATAGGGCATGGGACCTGGGCTTACAGAAGAGTCTGCTAACAGGGGGCCTGAGATGCTGACTGAAGCCCTTGCCTGGCTGTTAGTATGGTCTGCTTTGAGTGAGCCTTTATGGGGCACCAACTGTATGCAAGGCCTTCCAGCTCTGAGACTGTCAGACACAGGACCTGTCCCAGCCCTCCCCTGAGCTCCTATAAAGGCAGCCATGTCGCCGCCTCTGGGCACATTCATGGCTGGCAGCAATCATGGCATCAGAAGTTCTGGCCTGGCCCCAGCCCTTTACCTTCTCAGACTTGTCTGGTACTCAGTCCTCTGCCGGCAGAGCTCTGCCCTGAGCTCAGCCACCAGGCCCTGGAGAACTCGGCAGCGGTGGGCCTGGTCCAGGGCAGGACTTCCTGGGTTGCTGGGCTCACTGCTGTGGCTGCTGCCACCACCACCGTGTCCGCTCGTCTCATCCAAACTGTGGCCCAAGTCTGGGGACCTGTGGTCCCCACTGCTGGGCAGCGAGGACGGCTCCAGGGCCCATTCGGTGTGCAGGGAGCTGCAGGTGGACGAGTCGCTGGCCCTGTGGGCTGTGCAGCTGCTGACAGAGGCCTCCCTGGAGGATGTCGTGACGGACCATGTGGTGCTGGCTGTGCTGGGAAAGAGGCTGGCCGGAGGCACGTTGTCGTAGGTGGACAGTCTGTGTGGGGAGCCCGAGTCCTTGAGCCGGTCCCCTGAGGAGGCTCGCCGATGATGGCCACGCAGAGAGGACAGCCCGTTCATGAGCCAGTTCCCACTGGACGAGAGGCTGGGCACCTCGAGGGAGGAAGTGCCTCCCTTCGGGCTCCCTGACCGGGATCCTGGCTGCCGGAAGGAAGACTTCCAGCTGGGCAAGGTCTGTATCCCTTTTCTCGAGCCAGGGGCTGCAGGATGGCTCTGGCTGCCCCGGCCAGGGGGGGAGGTCCTCGAAAGCACCACTGCAGCTGGCCGGTCTAGAGATGAGGTCCTGTGGGTAGGCAGGCCAAGGCCGCCAGGCTCAGCTGGACTGTCCCTGCAGGCCTCCTCAGAGACCCAGCCCACCGTGCACTGTGGGGCCCCGGCCGGGGAGGCAAGTCCTTCTGGGACCGTGGCAGTGAACAGCTGGCTGTGTTTGCGGATGAGGGTGGTCATCAGGTGCTGGACTAGGGAAGTGCCTGCCAGAGAGAGGGGGGGGCGACACGGCTGTGAGTGACCCCAGCCCAGGTGCGGGAGGAGGGACTACGTCTGTGAACCTGTTTTAGGACATGGAACCTCAAGCCAGGAGGTAGCAGGAAGAAGGGGGAGTGATGCAGACATGGTGTCCATCAAGGCAGCAGATGGCTGCAGGACTGGAAAATAAAACTGGGAAGGTGAGTGCCCTCAGCTGCATATCCATGGCTGTGCCCAGCTGTTCACCCTCCTGGTGCACAGGGACCCGGGGCAGGGAAGAGAGCAGCCTCCTATGTGGGTGCACACCTCCTGTCTGCAGTCCTAGCTACTCAGGAGGCTGAGATCTGAGGGCTGTGGTTCCATGCCAGCCCAGGCAGGAAAGTCTATCAGACAGACCACCAAAAAAGCCAAAACCAGAGCTGTAGTTCAAGTAGGTGAGTGCTAGCCTTGAGCAAAAAAAGCTCAGGGGCAGCAACCAGGTCCTGCGTTCGAGCCCTTGGACCGCACAACAACAAAAGAGACATAGCTCCCCGATTCTGGGCGCTCAGCTCCTGTGGCAGTGAGTGGGGTTTCCTCCCACATGCCAGTGGAGATGGCTGGATCGCAGGAAGCCTCGCTCCCTCTTCCGCCCACATCAAAGGCCAGAAGGTGGAGTGGTTCACTGGGGTGATAAGGCTGACATTGGGGGGTGGAGGCCCTCCAGTGAACAGAGGAATCCAGGTAAGATTCTTAAGCCAGGAAACACTGGGGGAAGCAGGAACTGAACTCCAACACCCATTCCTCCTGGGTTTGTGTCCTGGGGCAGGAGAAGGGCCAGAGTATCAGCCCAGAGCAACACCCTTACCATGGGCAGGGTGAGGTACAGCTCTGTAGTGCCCACACCACATCTTCCTCACATTTACAAAGGAACTCAGCCCACAGGCTAGAGTGGAGCAGCCTGGCTCCGCCAGTGTTTGTGAATGTGTGAGTCTTGGCCAATCCCTCCCTCCCTTCCTCCTGTACTATAACTAGGGCCTTAACCCAGGGCCTTTTTATGCTCAAGGTTGGCATTGTACCACTTGAGCCACAGCTCTACTTCCGGCTTTCTGGTGGTTAGTTGGAGATAAGAGACTCCTATACTCCTGCTTAGACTGGCTTTGAATGGCGATCCTCGGATCTCGGTCTCCTTAGTAGCTAGGATTACAGGCACAAGCCACTGGTATTTGGCTCTGGTTAGTCTCTTCACCTAGGACCTTGGAGTCCCTGCCTACTTCCGTTTCCATGCCCGCCTCCACCTGTGCCCTCTGGCAGGTCTGGCTGGCTGTCCTCTGGTGGCCCCTCACAGCTCCCTCAGCCTCTGTTTCCTTGCCCTTAAGTTCTGTTTTGTGTTTTTTTCCTGGTATTAAGGCTTGACTTCAGGGTCTGGGCACTGTCTCTGAGCTTTTTTTGCTCTAGACTACTGTTCTACCACTTGAGCCACACCTCTTCTTCTGCCTTTTTGGTGGTTACTGAAGACTCTCACAGACTTTCCTGCCTGGACTGGCTTTGAACCTCGATCCTCAGATCTTAGCCTCCTGCGCATTTAGGATTACAGATGTGACTTATGTTCCTTAAAAAAAAAAAAAATCTGCCGGGCGCTGGTGGCTCACGCCTGTAATCCTAGCTACTCAGGAGGCTGAGATCTGAGGATCGCGGTTCAAAGCCAGCCCGGGCAGGAAAGACCGTGAGACTCCTATCTCCAATAAACCACCAGAAAACCGGAAGTGGCTCTGTAGCTCAAGTGGTAGAGCGCTCGCCTTGAGCTGAAGAGCTGAAGGACAGTGCCCAGGCCCAGAGTTCAAGCCCCACGACCGACAAAAAAAAAAATCACTATCATAGAAGAGAACTGCACAGCTCTGACATCCAGGAAGCCGGACAAGGAGGTGGGCTCAGCGAAGACATCCACCCCTCCGTTTTCCCAGGCCCTTCCTCTGCACTAAAGATTTAACCATTCTAACTTCATCCCATCACCACTGCTACCAGCCACAGAGCTGACCTCATTAAAGGGAGGGCCAGGAGGCTCCTGAAAATTTCTAGGGAGATGGAGATGAGCTACCTGAGCCCTCTACCCTCCCCGGGCCTGGCTTGGCTGGGATGGTCTAAGGGTCATGCCTGGGACCAAGATGAGCCCCAATCCCAAGAATAATGGAGTTGTGTCCCCATCCCCCATTACCTTCCATGATGGTCACTGGGTCCTCGACCTGTGGACGCAATATGTTAGGTCCAAATACCGTTGCCAGGTTCTGGACGCTCATCTTGTTGATACTTGAGTGGGACTGAACTTCATCCAGAAACCTGCAGAGCAAGGAAGAAGCAAATTTTGAAGTCTATGTCAGCTGCCAGGTCCTTTCTGGCCTGCCCTGCCCACACCCCTCACAGGCCACACCCCCACACCAGCAGCCATCCGGTCAGGCCTGCCTGCGATTTCCAAGGGTTGCTGGCCATGACCCGTCCAGCTCCAAAACTTGGATCTCAGGTCTGCGAGGGCCACCAGAAACAGGCCAGTGTGACAAGGACCCATTCCCCTGGCCTGGTATTCCCACTTGCCCCCTGCCAGTGCCTACGAGGGACACTTGAAGGGTTATGATTAAAGAGAGAAAAGCTAGGGGGTGGGGAGGGGACACTTCAACAGGTATCCAGAGGGGAGAGGACATATCCTTGCTGAAATGATCCACCAGGGACGATCCAACAGAGCCCGAAAGCTCCAAGCATTCAGAGTCTGTGTTGGGTTTATCCTCCCTGCACAGATGCTCGGTGAGGCTGGCTGGGAGGATGACCCAGACCCCTCTGGACATGGAGAGGGAAGGCAGGAATGCGTGAAGTCAGAGCCGACCTGTGTCCCACTTACTTGCAGATGTATCTGAGCAGATTGTAATTGGCCTGAGGAAGGTTGCTCACTTGCTTAGCCAACTCCAGCGTGCCCTTGGGAAGGAAGGAAAAGATCACCGTTTCAGACACCAGCAATGAGAGAGGAGGAAGGGCTGACGGAGAAGGGAGGTTGGGAGTCAGGTTGGGATGAGCCCTCCAGTGAAGAGCGAGTTCTTTGCTGGGAGCTGGTGTAAGGAGTGAGTCTCTGTGGGGCCACGGAGGAATGTCTGGGCTCTCTTATCAAGGCACAAATATTTACCAGATAACAACCTTCATCTCCCACACAGCTGCAGGGAAGGCAAACAGCCATCCCCAGCCACCAGCTGCAGGGCTGAGAGAGGAAGAGGAACTGGACCCTAAGCCCTTTGCCCTGGGAGCTGTCTCCATTTTCTCCAAAATAATACAAGACAAAATGGCCCATAGCAGACCTGGCTGGAATGGGAACATCCACTGTAAGCTGGATTAGCAGGATTTGCTTCAGGAGAGAGGGGCCTTCCAGATATGAGGTACACAACAGATGCTGTGGCCGCCTTCCCCTCCCCACCACCCACAATCAGCAGGAAGCTGGCCTGCATCCATGCTGCCATGGAGAAATCAAGGTTTTTTTTTTTTGTTGTGGTGGTTTGTGCGGGTCCTGGGACTTGAACTCAGGGACTGGGAGCTGTCCCAGAGTTTCTTTTGCCCAGTTAGTGCTCTCCCACCTTGAGCCACAGCTCACTTCCAGCTTTTTGGTGGTTAATTAGAAGAGGCTCATCGATGTTCCTGCCCTGGCTAGCTTCAAACGTCCATCCTCAGATCTCAGCCATCTGAGCCACAAGCACCTGTCTTTTTTTGGGGGGGCGGGGGGGTCTAATCCTGATTCCATGTTCCCACCATTCCACCAGCCCACCCCCAAGATGGGGCTCCTGGAGGCACTGACCTCCCCCTCGTCCTTGGTGAGCAGCTGGGCGCAGCTGAGGAAGTCCTCGTACCTGGCGAAGGGGATCACAGGCTCGGGGAGCTCCCGCAGGTACAGCTTCAGGAGGGAGGCCACCGTGTGCACGTCCGTTGTGCTAGAATGCAAGAGGGGACATGTAGCAGCCCTGCAGGAACAACCCCTGCTAACCACATACTGCGTACTCTCCCAAGGCTGGGAGAGGGGAAAGCACGACCCTGCAACTAGCTGCCCTTAGTCACGGTGAGGCCCAGAGTGCCTTTGGCTACTGTAGCCTGGGCTCCCATGGGGAGGAGACAGAAGCTAAGGGCCAGGAGCCCCAATGCTGTGCAGATGGTGTTGGGATTCAGAGACTTGGTGGCGGTGTTGGGATTCAGGGACCTGGTGGTGGTTCCCATGATGCTCTGGGTTCCCTGCAGGATGATGAGGGCCTGCCTACCCCCGTGAGGTGGAACAGACATCCTCCAGGCTCCACTGAGCCTAGCCTGAGCCGTGTGTGAGAAGAACAGGCATCCCGGGCACCAAGGTCTGGGCAGCTCATCCTTATCTGTATGGACACTTTCTACATCTCCCCTCCCCCCCCCCCGCATCTCTAAAACCCTGTGTTGTTTACTGCGTGCCTCAGTCTCTCAGGCAGAGGGGGCCTGCAGGGCACAGGGCCGGCATATCCTGGGCTTGCTCACTCACCCTGAGCTTTCTGGTCTACAGCTGGCCTTTCCAGCCACACCTGGGCTCCAGAAGGTTTTCTGCACTCCTAGCACCTGGCTTTCAGCCCCAAGCTGAAGACAGGAGCCTGGAGTATTCAAATGTCACAGGTCCCTTCTAGCAATGACATTTGCAATTGTGGGGTTCCATGATGCTCACAGGTTCTCCAAATCCGCCCATGTGAGCCTTCTGCTTTGCCTCAGGCCCGATGACTTTGAGGCTGGCAAGGCTAAAAGTCTCCCTGCCCTGCCTGCCTTGCTAACCAGGCTGTCTGCTGAGCCATTTTTCCTGTCCACACTCCTGGGCAATTATGGTCCCAGCAGGTACCACGCTGAACCTAGCGCCTCTGCAGGTCCAGTGGTGGCAGCTGCCTGAGCAGAAGCCTGGAAAGAATGGGGAATAAGGATGAGAAGCAGGGATACCCTCAGGGCGCCAGGAAGAAAGAGGAGTACAGCAAGCAGAATGGGGACAAGGGCCGGCTGACATTGTCTTTCTACAGGTGAGTGATGGAAGCGGCCTGCCTTGGGCCTTCCCTCTCCTCCCCACCCTCCTGCTCCCTGTACTGCTTTCAAGACTTTGCTTCCTCTTTTCCCAGACTTTCCCTCCCACACCCTCTGTGCATCCCATCCTAACCCCACGTGCACCCACTGTCAGCACACAAGGACGCCCTCCAGCCTGGGCCTCAGAGCGCACAGAGAAGGCTTCTGGCAAAGGGAGGATGGGCTCAGTCATGGAGCTAGGAAAGGAGGTCTGCAGACCTGCCGCGCTTGCAGATCGGCCAGGAGCTGAGATCCCTCTAGCTGCAACTTCCTAGCCTTGCTCATATCAGCATCCCTCTGTCTGTCCATGTCTGTCTCTCACTCACACCCCACCCTGTTGGCTTCTGGTCTTCCTGCCCAGCCCCAACCCCTGGCTCTTCATTCCTGGAGCCTGGTGGAATTCCAACCCGAAAATGCTCTCACTCCAAATCCAGCCACTGTTGAATTTACAGCAGCCTGGGGGCCTTGCAAGGCCTCCTGAACAGAACTTTTATTTTTGTTTTTGACTCTCCGCTGCCAGGCTAGCCTGATTCCCAAATTCATTTGCTTGTTATCTTACCTGGCCCTTAGCAAGGCAGCTACAAGAGGGTCCTAGCCCACTCCCCAGCCCCCCAGGCCTCTTGGCTACAGGCAGGTTCTGAGGGCAGGAATTGCCCCTTTGAGGAGCCCTGGCACAGAGGTGCCTCGTTGGCACCTGGCAGCAATGGGGACAGTGTCAGGAAAGCTGCCACCGCCCCTTGCATGGGTGGTCTTCCCAGAGGGAGATGGGCAGGAGAGGGGACTTGCAGTGTGGTTAGGGCTCTTGCTGGCAGGCTGTGGTGCCGCCAGAGCCATGCCCTCCAGCCTAGGAGAGGGAGCTGTGACCTACACTCCTGGAAAAGAGTGGGGGGGGGAGGGGAGCCTGGGCACCCTGTTGAGTTAGGCACAGGCCTGATGGAGCTACTAGGTAGAGAATATTCTGAGACTGCTGGTGAAGTTTCTAAAGGGGTTTGGGCTGGGAGAAGAGGGTATCCAGGGTAGCCATGTTGATATGGGAGGACACAGCTGTGGGACACAAGCCTGAGATAGATGGATGGGCCTCCATTACAAACCAGGAGGAGTAAAGATGGTGGGGGGGAGGTGGGGGGAAGGTGGTGAGGACAGTGGCCTGAGTGTGCGGGGAAGTCATCCCACAGCCAGGAGGCTGGCATGAGATCTGCAGGTGGGAGCTTAGCAGGGGGGCAAGGCTGGGAGAAGAGCTGGGCTGGCCCCAGCCAGAACCACAGCTTAAGCCCAGTGCCTGTGGTTCATGCCTGTAACCCTAGCCATTCAGGAAACAGGCCAGCCTGGGCAAGAAAGGCTGTGATTCTCTTGTCTCCAATTAACTTACAGCACAGAAGCAGAACAGTGGCTCAAGTGGTAGAGCACCAGCCTTGAGTTTAAGCCCCAGTGCTAGCACAAAATGAAACAGAACACCTTGGCTAAGCAGCTGTACCATGACCCCAAGGGCTGGGCCAGGAAGCCTCATACTGTACACGGGGTGGCAGAGGTAGATTTAAACGTGCAGAAACCCTTCCTCCAGCAGTTCTTACAGTACCAGGCAGTAGGGCAGTGCATCTGACCCTGCTGTGTTTCTAAAAGGCCAGCTTTCCAGAACCTACGCAGTCAGTATCTACCTGAAGCAACCTCCACCCTGACCCCAGGCCACAGGAGAGGCCTGGCTGGCAGAAGGTCAGAGTGAACCAGAAGCTCACCGAGAATCAGCCTTGGGATGGAGACACAAGGCTCCAGATGAGGCGACACCAAAGACCCCCTAAGTTCTGCATCTAAGGAGGCGGCAGGTCCCTGGCTGTGGCTATGCAAGGAATGAGGCCTTTCTGCTCCTGAGGAGAGGACCAGGGCTGTCCTGAGTACCTTTGTGATTTCCTATGAAAAACTTCCCCATGATTGATGGAATCCTATCGGGGTAAAGAGAGCACTGCACCCTGAGTAGACATGGAGCCTGAGCTGCTGTACCACTCTGCCACTGATGGAGTCTGGGGAGGATCATCCAGAGGAGGTAGAGTTATGAGGCAGACCCTGCAGAGCAAGCCTAGAGTCCTGAATGCAGCTGTACCTGAACCAGTCACCTGGCAGCCTGCAGAGTCCTTCCCTCCTGCCTGGGTCAGGTTTATGATCTGTGGCAGCTGCCCCAACGGGACAGAGGGAGTGGGCCTCATCTGTGGCAGACATGATGCATGCCCCAAGCTCTGCCTGCCGTTTGGGGCAATGTGGGCAAACAGTCTGCCCATCATCAACCTGGTCAAGACCCCAGCTCTAGTCACTGGCTGGTCCATAGCTCACCTGTCAAACAGCGGCTTCTCCCCGCAGTCAAAGGAGTCCTGCAGGTCTCTTACTAGGTTGGCCTGGCCGGGCATTCGGAAGAGCCCCTCCTCGGTGAGCCCACGTTCCCGGATGAAGTCCACACACTGCTCCACCAGCAAGGGTGCCAGGCGGGGACCATACTTCCGCTCATGGTACACAGTATCCTCCAGGCGCTGCCCAAAGATCCCTAGACACAAAGAAGAGCTGGTCATACCGTCTGCCTCCAGCTCAGGGTGGGCAGAGGACTCTTAGCACAAAGGGGAGAGGGCGTACCATGAGGGCCAGAGGAGGCTCTCCCTGAGGAAGGAAGTTAGACTCTAGGAGTTCACACCCAAGAGTCTGGGCCCTAGGCCAGAGAAAATGGTGGGCTCCCGGCATGTTCTATGGAGCAAATAGCCCTGGAAAAGCACACAGTGCATTTGTGTGTGTGCTGATAGTACTGCGGGTGAGCAGTACTGGCACACAAAATTAACATGTCAGGCATTGGTAGCTCACGCCTGTAATCCTAGTTCCTTGGGAGGCTGAGATCTGACTATCGCAGTTTGAAGCCAGCCTGGGCAGGAAAGTCCATGAGACTCCTATCTCCAATGAACCATCAAAAAGCCGAATGTGGAGCTGTGGCTCAAGTGGTAGAGTGCTAGCCTTGAGAGAAAAAGCTCAGGGACAGCATCTGGGCCCTAAATTCAAACCCCAAGACCCCCCCCCAAAAAAGTTTAAATTCAATGCTGATGACATATGTATTCCATAGCTTTGAAATCAGGGCCTAGGTTGGCTTTCTACCACTTGAGTCACACCTCCAGCCCTCTTTTAATACAGTCTCATTACATGCTCAGGCATATACCTGAACCATGATCTACCTACTCCAGGATTCCTCTCCTCCCTGGAACCACAGACATTCACCCTCCACATCCAATTTCTTTCTGTTGAGATGAATTCTGCCTGGGCTGGCCTGCAGCCACGATCCTCCTAACTTCAGCCATACCTTAGGATGACAGGTGCACACCACTGTATCCAGCTATGAATTATATGAAGGTCTCATAAACTTTTGTCCCAGCTGGCCTCCAATTGCCATCCTCCTATCCTAAGCCTCCCAAAGAGCTAAGGTTATAGGTGTGAGCCCCCGGTGTCCAACTATGTTGGGCATATTTTATGAGATGTTTAATTTGGCGGGGGGGAGTTAGTTGTGGGTCTTGAACTCTAGGCCTGGGAGCTGTCCCTGAGCGCTTCAGCTCAAGGCTAGCACTCTACCACTTGAGCCACAGCACCTCTTCTGGTTTTCTGGTGGTTTCCTGGAGGAAGAGTCTCATGGACATTCCTGCCCTGGCTTGCTTTGAACTGTGATCCTCAGATCTCAGCCTCCTGAGTAGCTAGGATTACAGGTGTGAGCCACCAGTACCCAGCTTGATTTTTTTTAAGCATGATTATAAGCAAAAGAAACCAGATCTAGAATACACACAGACTCCATTTGTATAAAGTTAAAAACTAGGCCAAACAGAGCCCTGCTGTCAGCCAGGGCATGGCAGTGGTCAGTGCAGAGGTGCTGAGGGCTTCTAAGCTGCTGGTGCTATTAAGCCAGTTGTGGAACTGGACACTTAGGATTTGTACACTTCTCAGAATGTCAACTTCAGCAACAAAACCCACCCATCTGGCCAGGCACCAGTGGCTCATGCCTGTAATCCTAGCTACTCAAGAGGCTGAGATCTGAGGATCGAGGTTCAAAGCCAGCCCGGATAGGAAAGTCCATGAGACTCATCTCCAGTAAACCACCAGAAAACTGAAAGGGGCCCTGTGGCTTAAGTGGTAGAGCGCTAGCCTTGAGCTGAAAAGTTCAGGGAAAGTTCCCAGGCCTAGAGCTCAAGCCCCATGACTAACCCATAAACAAAAACACTCATCCAGAAAAGATCCAGAACCACTAGTCTTGAACAAAATATCACACAAGAAAAAAACTAATGACAAGCTGGACATGGGTGGTTCACACCTGTACTCCTAGCTACACAGGAGGCTGAAATCTGAGGACTGCAGTTCCATGCCAGCCTAGGGAAGAAAAAGTCCAACAAAAGTTGGAAAAGGAGCTGTGGCTCAAGTGGCAAGAGTGCCAGCCTGGAGTGAAAAATTTAAGAGTGCCCAAGCCCTGAGTTCAAGCCCCAGTAGTGATACACATGCTTCTGACAACCAGATAACTAGCTGGGCTACCAGGTTCCTGAAGTTCTTTGCATGGGGAAAGAACACAGTGAGATGTGCAAAGTTTCTCTCTCTCCCTCCCCCCACCTTCTCTCTCTTACACACACAATTTAGCAGCTGGCGGAACAGCCTCACCCAACCCTAAGCTCCAGGACTTTGGGATGCCTGACCTGATTAGCATCCACAAATCACATTTGTCCTGGCAGGGCAGCTTCTGGAGTATGCCAGGGGCACCATGCCAGAACACTGCTGTGTCTGGGCATGTGGCTTCTCGGGACCTGGATGGTGAGCCAACCAGCTGGGCCCTGGGGTGGGGGTGGGGGGTAAGGCGGGAGGTCATCGCCCTAGCACAGCCAAACATCAATGAAAGATACACTAGTCCCTCACACAGTGCCTGGCACACAAAACACTGGGAACTTCCTTCTGGGAAACATAACTGGAATAGGACTTAGGCACACGGGTACTGAGTTTGGGCTTCTGCTCATTGGTGTGAATGTGTACACTCAGGGCCAGCCTGGAATCAATCCTCCACTAACAGTGGCCATACAATCTGCTCCCCCACCTCCTAACTTGGGGTCACAAAATCACCCATACTTAATGACGGTCTTCAAATGCTCCTACTTACCAACAATATTTGCGACATTTAAAAGAAATTGTTATTGAAAACCAAGAGATTTCATACATCTGAATTCTTAGCTTCTTCCCTGCCCCCTCTGGGCTGTGATCACACCCAGGGCCTTGCAGATTCTAGGCAAGCACTCTACTGAACTGTGCTCCCGTCCCTAATTTTTTTCTTGTGTGTGTGCGATACAGGGCTAGGGCTTGACCTAGGCACTGCCCTTGAGCTTTTTTGATCAAGGCTCTACTACTTGAGCCCTAGCTCCACTTCCAGACTTTTAATGGTGAATTGGAGAGAAAAGTCGCATGGACTTCCCAGCTGACTTCAAACCTCAGTTCTCAGATATCAGCCTCCAAGGATTACAGGGGTGAGCCACTGGTGCCTTGCTTTCTAAATACCTTACTGTACTTTTTGTTTAAAGACCGTGAACATCTGAATTGCTAGAAATACTCTTCAGAGCCATAAATTAATGAGGGTGACGACACATAAGCTCTGACATACCCTGACAGTTGAGCTGCTAAACCAAGATGGCTCCCAAGTGACTGACAGGAGGGTAGCCTATACTGCAGTGCACGCAGTACAACACAATGGCTCACGTTCCAGCCAGGACAGAGCAGGAGGACCGTGAGATTCTGAGATGAACATCTGCAGAAGAGTGCACTTAGGAACGCACTCTGCAATTTCTCACATAGTGTTTTCAGGCTGCGGTGCACCGTGGCATCGTGGGTAAGGGAGACAAATAAGCTAAAGTGACTCAGCGTGGCCTCGCCATGGCCTCCTCTGCCCACAGTGCTATGCCCGTCCCCTGTCCACGGGAGGAAGTCCCACGTGGCAGGCGGCCCAGCCCTGAGGTGCAGAGCCAAGGCTGAGGCTTGTTCACACCCCCCCAGCCTGGGTGGCTAGGTCTGGGTTGGCCCCTTCCAAGCCTGGCAGGACCCCCGCCTCTCTGGGGGTCTCCTGAGCACTCTCTCTACCCCCAATAGGGGATGATAGAGTGGGGAGGAAGGAAAGGCCACAGAGCATTTCTAAATAAAAGAGGGTCTAAGGAGGATGCCATCTTTGACCCAAAGAGTAATGAGGTAAAGCAGGTAGGCAGGGGTGGGGTGCAGAGGACATGACAGAGGACCCCAAATTGGGAGGGCAGGAGCTGGGCACAAGCGGTGCATTCCTGTAGTCCCAGCTATCTGAGGGTAGAGGTTTGAAAACAGCCCTGACAGGAAAGTCTATGACACTCATCTCCAATTCACCACCACAAAACTAAAGTGGAACTGTAGCTAATTGGTAGAGTGCTACCACTTGAGCAAAAATGCTCAGGGCCAGCACCCATCTCTGAATTCAAACCCCAGAGCCAGCACAAACAATAAATACAACTAGTAAAGTTAAAAGACTGGAGCGTGACTGGGGAAGAGGCTGGATGTAGGACGGTGCCATGGTCAGAACTCACTCTACCTGTCACCCGGACTCCAGAGGCCCTCAGGTGTGGACCATCTCCCTGCCTTGTGGGCATGGACACAAACGACGATGTGCAAGGGCCTAGAGACAGAGGCTCTGAGTGGTCTCCAGCACTGATCTGGGTGCATATCCTGGATGAACCAGAGGACAGCAGTGACCCCCTGTCCTGGGCCTCTCCATCTACAGAAGAGGGCAATCCAGAAGGCTTCAGAAGCTGTTTATGAAGACCAGACTAAGACACTGGACTGAGCCCACAGCACCACCATGAAAGGAGGCCATGCACAGGGCTGAAGAATTCTGTTTGCTGCCCCTCCCTGGAGCTGTGTGGGGAACCCCACAGGGAGGCCTTGCTCCAACTCTGCTGTCTCCCTGCCAGAAGGTATCTCACATTAACCTTTGATTCTAGGGAACCAGCCCAGTACCCTCCCCCCCCCCCCCCCCCACACCATGGTCCCTCTGGTAGAAGCAAGCTGGCCCTGGCCAGCTGGCCCCAGCAACCTGAACTCCCTCTGCCCTCCTGGCACGTCTTGGAGGGCGCGTTGCCAAGAACCAGTTCCAGTAGGTTTGTCAGATCTTAGAAGCACAGCCAATGTGGGTTCCTCGAGATCCCAACCCACACTTCACAAGTACCCGCTGGGCTACCACGAAGGAAGCTGGCAGAGGCTGCTGCCTGGCAGAGCCAGCCTCCTGTCCCTGTCTTCCAAGTCCCTGTGGGAATCACGAGAGAACCAAGTGGCCTAGTCCCAGCTGTGCCCTGGGTGTGGATGGCTGACACTGCAGGGCGCTGAGCATCCCCAGGTAAGAACATCACTCCCCACCCACCCCACCCTCTGCTCCCCTCCCCTCCCCTCCTGGCTTTCTCCTAGCTCTCCTGCCCTGGGGAGGGAGGCTCTGCCAGGGCCTGAGCCTAGCCCCAGCTCAACACAGGAGAGAGA